AGGCTCAACACCAGAAGTTTGCTTTAAAAAAACAATTCATGAAATTATCTGTTAAGAAATAGTGGACTAGCTTTAAACTACTTTGGTGGAGGTCTAAAGTTGGAAACCTAGCTCAGTGTCTTGCTCTCTGAAAATAATTAAGAAGTGTTTTTTTTATTAGTTTTAGGCAATTGGGGTTAAGTGACTTGCCCAGGGTCACACAGCTAGAAAGTGTCAAGTGTTTGGTCTGAATCCAGATTTGAACTCAGGTCCTCCTGACTTCAGGGCATGTACTCTATCCACTATGCAACCTAGCTGTCCCAAGAAGTATTTTTAAATGAAAGAATGAATACCATTTACAAGCTATAGCAATGAATTTTTTGGAGAACAATAGGCACAATAACACTGATTCAATTCCATGTAACAAATATTTCTTAGTCCAGAAACTAGTTGGCACAGTGTATGGCATATTGGACTTGGAGTCAGGAAGACTTGAATTCAAATTATGCCTCAGATACTTACTAGTTGTGTGACCCTAGGTTAACCTCACTTAACTTCACTCAGCTTCAGTTTCCTTATCTGTGAAATGGGAATAATAATAGCACCTCTTTCATAGAGTTCTTGTGATGATCAAATGAGATAAACTATGTATAGTGTTTTGCAGAGTTACCTAAGTGTTAGCTGTAATTATAATTTTGTGCTAGATATCGGGGATACAAATGTAAAAAAACACATGCACCCTGTTTTTAAGGTCCTTAAATTCTACTGGGGAATAAGACATGTTCCCAAATGAGTGTGATATGGCATAAAGTATGATAAAGGCAAAGGAGAAATCCATTCAAAGTATTCTCAAAACTTTGGAGAAATAGAACATTTTTAGCTGGAAGGGGGGAGGGGAAGAATCAGAAGAGTGACCAGGAAAGTAATGGATGATAAGAAGGTCCTGGCTGTCATAGAAACTGACATCCCCAAGCTGAGCAACAAAAGTGACCATGGAGGGTTAGGATTGGGGTGACAATGAACTGAGTAGAAGCAGTGACAGTCTTGGATAACCATTACCACTAGATTAATTACTGCATTTCATTAATCCTTACATTAGCATAGATAGTATTAATGAGAACTGACTCTCACCTCTGTTTCCTTCTGGATTTGAGTTGACAAGGCTGGTTCTGAAGGATAGTGAGGATCGACTTTAAATTTCTAGATAAATACATTTTCAGAGAGTATTATAACTAATAAGAACAGAAAACTTTCCAGGACAACTTACAATTGTCTGAGAATAAATGTAGTTGGTGTCCTTATAGCTCATGTAATGCTTATCTTAATAGAACATCACCAGATGCTATCTCTTCTCTTCTGCATTCACAGTAGATGACCTTGCCTTCTCCTTTAGTGGGAAGTTCATCCTTAGGTCCTCCAACCTCCTCTCTCCATACCTTATAACTCCTATCTCTTCTCCCACTCTGCCTCTTTTGTATCTATCTGAAAGGAAAGTAGTCCTGACCTTTGCTAAAAGTAATCTCTCAATCCTACATATAGTCTTAATCTTATTCATGAATATAATATAATACAGCCTCCCACTCCAGAACATATACTCCTATTGAGGCAGTGATACAGATGTTAAGTATTTGCCTTGTACTTTGCCTTTGGTCACATTCCTTCCAACTCATCCAGACTTTCCTCAGTGTTACTTGGTAAATAGAACAGTTAGGTGGGCAATAGAGAGAGAAGTGAGACTGCAGTTCAGGAAGTCCTGAGTTCAAATCCAGCCTCAGACATTTACTAGCTGTGTGGCCCTGGACAAGCCACTTAATCCTGTTTGCCTCTGTTTCCTCATCTGTAAAATGACCTGGAGATGGAAATGGCAAACCACACCAGTATCTTTGCCAAGAAAATCCCAAATGGGGTCACAAAAAGTCAGAAATAACTGAATAAGCAACAACACCATTATGTCCCCTTAATACCAGGGGATGCCACATCCCTAGAACTTTGTACAGTGTCTGACATATAATAAATGTTGAATAAATGCTTGTTGACTCTTATTTTATGTCTCTCCCTTTCCCATTTCATGTTTACAAACATATTGACCACTGTCCATCCCACTCAAGATTTCAAGAGCTGTTGCTTTCATTTGTATAAATGCATATTTCACTAGTACAGGTTACAACCCTTAAGTGTGTGTATTGTGTGTGTATTTAAGTCCTGCTTACAGAATTACATATTTAAAGACAAAAGAAACCATGGGTAGTAGGTGGCAAAGCCAACATTGATTTCAAGTCCCATGACTGTTAAGCTCAGTCCCCTTTTTATACCTCCATTCAGCCTTCCTAATCTTAAAAAGACCCTTTAGTTGAGTCTTCTATCCCACCAAGTTAATTTTTAATTCATCTCCATTTCAGTACCAAATTTATTAAAAAGTTGTTTTATGTTGGCTGCATCTTTTTTTTCCAACCCATTCATGTCAACCCCTTGCCATTGATCTTTCTTTCTTGCCACTTGATAGAAACTGAATGAATAAATCCAAAAACCAATATAAAAGTGAAGGTAACCCCAGCTTTCAAGGATCTTACATTCTAATAGCAGGAGACGAGAAATATAGAAAAGTGATTTTCAGAGAAGGGTATTGGGTTTTGTAGAAGTTACGGGAATGATAACCATAAGGAAATAGATTGGCACATCCCTTCTAGGACTGATGACAATATTCATTTGATTATGGTTCAGGAACTGAAAATAGCAAGAGGAGTTGGAGGGTACACACTACAGTGGCAACAAAGCAACTGAGGAGAAGATGCCTAAGAAGTAAAAATGAAGCATGGCTGGAGCCAACTTAGATATAGTGGGTCACATGAGGCATTTACCAATCAGTGCAGAGGAGCTTCAAAACAGGGAATCTGGAAATGAAAGCTAAGGCTCTAAGAAAGTAATCTCTGCCCTATGAACTAAGGTCACTGGAGAGAAAATTGTTCTCTCAAATGTTACCAATGACTTCTTTACTACTGAAAAAAAAACTAATGGCCTTTTATCTGTCCTTATCCCCATTGACCTCTAACTCAATGGATAGCGATTTTTGTCGCTTAAAAACACTGTGCTCTTTGGGTTCTATTTCTATATTTCTGACCATTGACTTTTCTCAGCTTAGTCTCCTCCCTGGTTCCTGAAGCTGGGGGTTCCCCAAGTTTTTGTCATTTGACTTTTCTTCTATCCCTTGGAATCTGCTTCATCCTTATAACTCTAGCTATTCTTTCAACCAAAAAGATGCTCAAATCTATCTTTCTAACCCTGATCTCTTTTTTGAGTTTTCAATTCATTTCTGACTGTCAACTTGTCATCTGTATTTGTATGTCCTGGTGTAACTTCCAACTCCACAAATCCAACACAGAACTTTTCATCAGTCTCCTTAAAAGTGGTTCTTCTTCCAACTTCACTGTTTCTATTAGGGACATCAGCATTTCCCATCCACCTATGCTTGAAACCTAAGTGTTACCTTTAATTTTCCCTAACCCTTGTCATTCTCAATCAACCAACCAACAAGCTTCTTTCAAGGTCCTTCTGTGTGACAGGCATCACTGGAGATACAAAGAAAAACAATTAATAGTCACTGACCAAAGGATCTTGCAATTTATTGGGGAAACAGCATATGTACCTGTAAGTATATACAAAATATAGATAAATTAAATACAAGATAATTACAAGGAAGGTACTAACAGCTGATTGGCTTAGGAAAGGTCTCATGTAGGAGGTGGGATTTGAGTTGATCTTGAAAGGAAACTAGAGATTCTAAGAAGCAAAGGAAAAGGAGGAAGTTCATTCCAGGCATTGGGTACCATCTTTGTAAAGACAAAGATGAGGGTTGGAATGTTTCAGGTGAGGCTTTGTTTTCATATTGTTTGACCAGTACCAAGTAGTTCTGATGATTACTGCCTTGAATATAGTCTGATATCTAGTAATATTATGCCTCATTTATTCCTAAATTGGTTTTCATCATTTCCCTTGCAATTCTGGGGATTTTGTAGGATCACAGATTTAGAGCTAGAAGGTAACTTGGTTGTCATCGATTATTTTCCTTTCATCTTATACATGAGAAACAGAGACTCAGAGAGGTTCATTGACCAAGGTCATATATATAGTAGGTGTTAGAGACAGGATCTCTTCCTCCAGGAATTTTGCAAATGTTTCCGTGGCTTGAATAAAATCTTCCATTGGAAGGTAACTTGACTACTTGATTGGTATAGTGCTAAATCTATAAATCAATTCATGTAGCATTGCCATGTTTATTATATTGCTATAGCCACTATGTGGAACAGTGGTTGGAGTGCTGGCCTCAGAATGAAAAAGACTTGAATTCAGATCCTGCCCCACATACTTACTAGCTGCATGACCCTGACCAAGTTGCTCAACCTCTCTCAGGCTCCATTTCTTCATCTGTAAAATGGGGATAATAATAGCATCTACTTAGTAGGGTTGTTGTGAGGATCAAATGAATTAACATATGTAAAGCAATTTGTAAACATTAACTGTCTATGCAAATGCTAGCTCTTACAACAAAATCATGAGCCCAGAACAACTCTTTCCCTTTTTAAGCCCTACTTTTTCATCTATATAGTGTGTATTTTAGTTGCATTCATATAAATCTCATATATGTCGTGATGAGTTAACTTCCAAATATTTTATGCATTTAGTAGTTACACTTAATGGAATTTCACTTATTGCTATTTTTCTGGATTTTGCTACTATCATATGTAGTACTGGTGATTTTTGAGTGTTTCATTTTTATTCTGCCACTTTACAAAAGCTATTAATGGTTTCATTTGGTTTCTCCAACATTCTCTTGGGTTTTCTATGTATACCATGTGTTATCTGCTAGTAGTGATAATTTTCTCTCCTTTTTATTCTAAATTTCCAACAATTGAAATCATCAAATTAAGATGCTGCAAAATAATAGAGCATACTTTCAATTATGTTCAAATAATATATTTTCAGGAATTAAAAGTAAAATGATCTTTCAATTTATATTTTCTCAGATGATAATGAGTGTGAAAACTCTACACAACCTTGTGGTGAAAATGCCAACTGCACTAATACAGAGGGGAGTTATTTCTGCATGTGTGCACCTGGCTTTACATCCAGTAGCTCCCAAAGCAAGTTTGTAACTAATGATGGGACTACTTGTATAGGTAAGTTGTCTTTAAAATGGTGGTTCATTTCACCTGACTCTTACTTATGAGATAGATTAATTTGATAGAAACTGAGCCTTGGGGATCTTTACCTTGCTGAGACAGAGTGAGAGAGAGAGAGAGAGAGAGAGAGAGAGAGAGAGAGAGAGAAATGATATGGCATTCATTAATTACTTACTCTATGCCAAGCATTGGGATAAGAAAGGGAGGAAACAAGCATTAATTAAGTACCTACTATGTGCCAAACATTGCCCTAAGTACTTTACAAATATTATCTTGATTCTCACAACCTAGAGAGACAGGTACTATCATCATCCTCATTTGATAGTTGAGGAAAGTGAAGCAAACAGAGGGTAAGTGACTTGCCTTAGGTCACACAATTAGTGTCTGGGAATGTATTTAAATTCATCTCTTGCTGATTCCATGCCCAATGCTATATTTACTTCAACACCTAGCTGCCTACACACTGGGAACACAAATACAAAGGAAAAGATAGACAATTCTTACCATCAAGGAACTTACATTCTAGTGCAGGTAGACAATGCAAAAAAAAAGGGAACTGAAAAGCAGGAATGTGTGGCAAGGTGGAGAAAGCTAGAGAGTCAGGAGTTGAGCTAAGACAAGCATGAGCTTGGATTGTTCTGGCAATTCCTCAAATGGAAGGTGTGGAGGTAGGAGGAACTCACCAATCAGAGGTGGGGCTTGAATGGTGGAGACAGGGGTACGCTGGTAAATGTTTAACAACCAGTCCTTGGGGGAGGGGGAATGGTACTACAAACTTTTAATGTTTATTCACAACATTTTCTCCATCACTTTATTAAGTCTAGACAATCAATGAAATAATAAATCAAGCCCTGTTTTGTGGCATTTGCCAGTCTCTGAGGTATAAGCACTCACACTGCAAATTTAACAATCAGCTCTACAGAGCCAAAACAATCTGGCTCCAGCAAATTCCTAGGTGTAGCCATCTTCCAGGATAAGAAGGTTGCTAGAGAAAGGTAAAGATATCCAGAGTCAGTAATGGAGCCAAGAGAGGATATGCCTTGGTCAGACTACATCTGGACTTTTTTTGTTTTCTTTTGTTCAATTTTTTTCAATTCTAGATGCCACATTTTAGAAAGCACATTGATAAAGTGGAGTGTCTAGAAGATGACAACCAGAATGATGAATATACTTGAGTCCATGTCATACAAGGATCGGTTGAAAGAACTGGTAATATTAGAAAAGAGTCAAGCAGAGATAGTTATCTTTAAATGTTCAAAAATCTGCAATGAGGAAGAAACATCAGAAATGTTCCATTTGGTCCCATAGGACAAAAGAGTTAAGACTAAACTCTAATTTAGTCCAAATGTCAGGAGAAACTGCCTAACAGTTAGAGCTATCCAAAAGTGAATCCACTTTTTTAGAGGCTGTCAACAAGAGGCTGGATGAACACTTCTGGGGATGTTATAATGGCAGTTTCATTTTGATTATGGGTTGAACTAGATGGCAACTGAAATCTCTCATAATTCTCAAAATCTGTGATAACATGACAGTTCTTCAAAAACTTAAGGATACCTATCAAGCCTCCCAACCAAGTCTTCTCTTCTCAAGGATAAATATCTCCAGTTCCTTCAAACAATCCTTATATTTAATAAGTTGCTTTAGAGCATTAGTTTTTCCAGTGACTTGAGAAGTAGGAAGAATTTATGCCGTGGAAACCAAATCAAATAACATACAGAGAAAATAATTTTAGAAAGCTATGAAGTCTAGCGGCCTAGGGTGCAGTTGCAACAAATTGAATAAATATTAAATTTGAAAAATTGATCTGTTATGCCCAAGAAACAAAATATATTCTGGTCACAAGTTGTTGTTCATGTTCTGAGTTTTGTAAATTTGTATTCAGATGTTGGCCCCAGTGGGTCCTGAAAACAGTTTCTATTTTTTGTGTGGCAGATTCTCCCTTTGCTTTTGCTAAGAGCTTGTTGTTAAGTGACACTCCTATGGAATATGCATGACCCCATGGTACTGTTTAGTAAGTTAGTTCAGGTTCATGAAGATATCTTCTGAAAATATTTGATTTCCTATGAATAAGGTAAATTCATTTCCTATGCTGATGGAAGATTATTCCAAACTTGTGTTTATAATAAACAGACTATCTGGAGGACATTGAAAATGTTCTTACACTGTAATTTGTTCGTTTACTGAAAATCAACAACTGAATTCACTAGGGGCTAGAGGTTTGAATTGGATTCTGATAGGGGAGGGAGATATTCAGGGATTTTAATAGGCATAGTTTTCAGAATCAAATTCTCTGGTGACTCTAATTCTTTGACCTTTGAAATTAACTTTCTTTTGGAACTTTAGAAGTTCTCATCAATCAATTTACCACCACTTAGCAGCCCACAAGGTACTCAATAGTAAATAATGTAGAATAATAGAATGCTAGAACTGGAAGGAATTTTAGAGTTCATTTCCCCTGTTCTCCTGATGGAAGAAACTGAGACTCAAAAATGTTAGCTTGGCCCAAAGTCATCCAGCAAACCAGTGGAAGAGCTACATCTAGCACCGAGGAAGCCATCATGAGGAGACTATTATCTCTTGTCTAGCACATCAATCAATCTTTGAGCATTTATTAAATTCCCATTAAGCACATAAGGAATTTCATAAGCAGTCTTTGAATGGAAGTACAATTTTTGCTTCTGCCCATTATGACATTCTCAATCCTATGCTCAAATTTCCAGTGTCCAATATTTCCAAGGTGCTTTGCTCACAACAGTCCTTGTGCAAAAAGTATTGCAAGTGTTATCATCCTAATTTTAGAGATGAGGAAACTGAGGCTCTAACAGGTTAAGTGATGTTTGAGGTATGATTGAAAATGATGTCTCCTGTTAACCAATCCAGCAATCTTCACTCCACCATACTGCCTCTGTTGCCCATTTTTAAAATATGGGGACCTAAAAATTGACCTACTGGGTTAGGGAGATAAAGGAGGGATACTGTCAGAAATGAAGATTGTATAAAAACAAAAGATAGTAATTAATCAATCAACATGCATTTTAAGTGCCTATTATATATGCCAAGTACTATGCTAACCTCTGTGATAAAAGATGGAGACAAAACAAAAGATATCATTTCAAACAAAATTTTAGAATTGCAGCTCAACAGTGATTACCAATGTCAGTGTGAGAATGGACAGTTTACTTCAGCTCTCTGAGCCTCAGTTTCTTCATCTGTAAAATTGGAATAATAATACCCCATGACACCTATTTCTCAGGGTTACTTTGAGGCTCACATGACATAAAGTATGTACAATGTTGTGCAGACATTAAAGTGCTATATAATTGTGAGCTATAATGAAAACAATATCAATCTTAAAGAAAAACTATCATTTAAGATATGATGATGATGATGAATGGTTATCATAATAGTGTCTTGAATCTGCTTTATACTTTTCAAAATATGTAATACTGAAAATCAATGAGGTAGAAAAGGCAGCTACAGGGTTCAGTGGATAGAGCATTGAGCCTTGAGGTAGGAGGACCTGAGTTCAAATCTGGTCTCAAACACTTAGTATCTGTGTGACCCTGGGCAAGTCATATAACTCTGTTTTCCTCAGTTTCCTCATCCAAAAAATGAGCCAGAGAAGGAAATGGCAAAATACTCCAGCATTTTACCAAGAAAACCCCAAATTGGGTCATGAGGTGTCAGACATGACTGAAAACAACTGAACAACCACAGAGATCTGAATTGGTGAAGCGGATAGAGTAATAGAATTGGAGTAAGGAAAACCTGAACTTAAATACTACTTCTGACTTAGTTGTGTGATCCTAGGCAAGTCAGTTAATCATTCTCAGTTTATTCCCTCATCTGTGAAATGAGCATAATAATGAAACCTACTTCACAAAGTAGTTATGAGGTTCAAGATAACATACGTCAAGAACTTTGCAAATCTTAAGGCACTCCATAAATTATTGTTGCTCTTGTTAGCCAGGATAAATATTATTGTTTTCAATTTATAGGAAATAAAACAAGATTTTTTTTGCTGTTGTTATTTCAGACTCTAAGTGACCTCAATTGGGGTTTTCCTGGCAAAGATGCTGGAATGACTTGCCATTTTCTTCTCGAGCTCATTTTACAGATGAGGAAACTGAGGCAAACAGTACTAAGTGACTTTCCCAGGGTCACACAGCTAGTATCAGAGTCCAAATTTGAACTCAAGAAGAGTCTTCCTGACTCCAGGCCAGGCAGTCTTTCCACTGGGCCATCTAGCTCCCCAAGACAAGATTAGATGCTTGTAAAGCTGACACAGCCAAAGATGCAGCCCAGTCCCCTGACCCCCAATCCATTATTCTCTGCACTAGATATTTAAATATATTTACTACTTGAAATTTTCAAATAGATGTCAGCAAATTGCTTTGCTCCTTCAAATAAGAACAAATATTTCAACTCTAAAAAAATCAACTATTTTCACTTAGAATTTTCAACACATGAAATTCCTGCCCAAAATTCTTAATTCTCCCTAGTAGAATATGTTTTGTTAGTTTACCATCAGGAAAGACCTGACACCTAAAATGAGGAATTTGTCTTTAATTATCATCTATAATTGTAAACATAAGTGGGTTGGTTACAAGAAGGAAAAAAAATCTAACCCTTAACATCTTAATCACCGGAGTTTACTATAATTTTAATGCTGCTCCATTCCCAGGTATATCTTGTTTCCAGAATACATCTTACTTGTCTTCTGCTCATATTATTTAAAAACCCCAAATCTCAAAGGGCCGCTTTATGCAGCCCTTGATGATACCTTCAAGGATAGAATTACCCTTGTTTTCATTAGAAGTCTCACACACATACACACACACACACACACACACACACACACAGATATTTTCTCTAACAACATGAAATAAAAAGGAAGAACAATTATTTTAGATGTAATATAATTGTTATTTCAAAATCCATTCTAACAATGTTCTTTTATGGTAATTTTGTAGAATGGCCCTAATACTTTATGAATT